GGGACCCCGGTTCTCCCGGGACGGCCCTGGGCGCCCCAGCCCGGCCCCGAGCCCCGAGATGCTCCCGAGCCCCGGCCTGGTCCAGAGTCCCTTCAGGCTCCGGGACCCGCCCAGAGCCCCCGCTGGGCCCGTCTCACCCCAGATCTGGCCTGGACCCCGGACCCCGTCCCGACCCAGTCCCCGGGGTCTCCCTTCCTTCCCGGGATCCTTGGCCCTGCAGCCTCGCAGCTCCCGAAGCCCCCAGCGGGTTCCGCACCTCGCTCCGACTGGAGCCCCCCACCGTCCCTGCACCCCGGTCTGCACCCCGCCCTCCCTCGGCGCGCCTGGGCCTGGGCCGTCCCTCCCCTGTGACCTCCAGCATCCCTCTCCCTCCAGCCCTGGCCCCGGCCTGAGCCGCTCTGACTCCCTGGCACCCGTCCTTGGGTCTTTGCTGCAAGGACCTGGCCCGGTTAGGGTGTCCTCTCGCTGCACCCGCTTTGCCTCCTGGAATCCGCCCTTGCCACCCCAGCTGTCCCTGGGAGCTCCTTGGGACAGGCCAGTGCCTGGGGGCAGTGCTTCCACCTTTGCCCCTTCTCCTAGGTCAGGGCCAGCTTGCTCTCTGACCTGGAGCCCCCCAGTTCTTCAGGAGCCCAGTGCCTGCTGTGGCCTGGACCTGGGCCGGAGTCAGCCGGGGGACCCCCATGGAGGTGTCCCTGGGTTTGATCCCAGCCCAGCCCAGCCTCCTGGTTCCACAGTCTCCCCAAACCCATCAGCCTCCTGCCTTAACACTGCGGTCTCCTGCTTCCACCAACACCTGGCCTGACACATCCCCCCCACCCCAGTTCCCCTCTGTTCCTTCCCCAGTTCAAACCCAGGGTGAGCTTCCCCATGTCCTGGCGGTCCCTCCCCTTTCGGTCTGGAGTGGGTAAACTGGAGGCATTTCTGGGCCCTGGGCTCGCCTTCACCCCGCCCTCAGCCATGCCGTCTCTGGTACTCGATCTCCTTGCCCCGCTCCCCCAGCTGTCCTGGCATCCAGGGCGCAAGGCCAGGAAGGGCGTGTGGGGCTGTGGGGGTGGCAGCCGAGATCCCCGCAGTTCTGCAGGGCAGGTTGGGGCGTCCCTGGCTGCTGGCGCCACAGAGGCGGCCGTCTGGGAAGGCAGTAAGTGGTGTGATGGGTGGGGGGCGAGGCCCTCCCTCCTGCTTGTCCCGGGGGTCGCTGAGGCAGGTGGCTTGTGCTCCTGGCAGCTCTCACCCTGGTTTCCCGTGGGCTTTGGTCCCACTCCCTTCCTCTTACGAGGTAAGGAGCGTTTGTAGCAATTAGCCGGTGACTTTCTGCAGCTTGGCATGAGTTGGTTTCCCTCGAAGGCCAGAGCGTGTTGTCTCAACCCGTGTTGAGTTAAAAGGACCAGCGAAATGTCCTTTCTGCGTCCGCTTCCAACGAAGCCCACCTCTGGGTCCATCCCACCCGACACCGTCACGGTGCAGCCGTGGGCCCAGGCTGCCCATCCCCCTCGTGCTGAGCTGGGCCTGGCTGTCTGGTCCTGGCATTTGCGTAAGTGGGATGGTGGACGTGGGTGCGTTCCTGGTCTGTGGCAGACGCGGTCCGGCCCAGGTAGCCCCAGGTAGCCCCAGGTAGCTGCAGCTCGGCACCCCTGGTCCTTTTACATGTCACCCAGGAAGCAAAATACGGTTCCCCGCTGCGCCAGCCACGTGTGTGTGAACAGCTCGGTGGCCCGCGCCACTGAGCTACCAGACGCTGCGTCGGGCCCCTCGAGGTGCAGGGTCCCATCAGACCCTGCCAGTCTCCCTTGTGGTACAAGTCCCTTTGCAAGGGAGACTGGTCTCAGGGAAGCGTGTGTGGGGCACTCGGTCTCCTTCTCAGCCTGAGTTCATGCAAATCTGGGCGAGGTCCAAGAGCCTGGACCCTCCTAACAGCCAGAGGCCCTGGGGAGACGGGAGAGAATGGTGTCTTTTACACACGTAGGTGAGTTGGCTGAGTGCTCCAGGATGACTCTTGGCGCACGGAAAATGCTTTGAATCCGGCAGGATCCCGGCCTCGCTGGCCTCCCCGCCCGCTGGAAGCCACAGACCTGTAAATGCCCCATTATGGAGGGAAATAGCGGCTTTTCCCTGGGCGCTCAGCTCTGGAAGGCTTGGATTGTCTCCACCTCCCCACGCTCCTTCCAGGACTCTCAGGCCCCGCCAGGAAGCGGGATTCTGTCCATCTGCCCGGGGCTCCCAGCCTCTGGCTTTGACTCTTTGATGTCTCCTCCCTGGGGCCTAGAAAGCCTTCCTGGTTCCCTCGGCCTGGGGCTGTCGGGCTCTCCCTGCAGCAGCTCCGCAGCAGCTCCGTCTCGTCTCCGTGGTGGGGTTCTCTCTGCTGCAGCGGCTCCCGAGGGTATGGTTGATCACCAAGGTTGGAGGGCTGGGAGGGACTGATGTGGATAAAGACAGAGCCCCCCCAGGTGGCCCTGTCCTCCCCTTCTCAGAGGAGGGGAGGCCCCGGAGGACAGATTCCAGGGGGGTGGGTGCTGTTTCTGAGGTGCATTTCACGGGGGAGTCTTCTCAGGTAGCTCCTCTCCTCCCCAGACGGCCAGCTGGAGAGGGTGAAGGCTCCTCCCCTCCTCCAACTGCAGAACTGTCGGGGCGCCGACCTGCCACTTCTTTCCGATCTCGGTTTTACTACTGTATTGGAAAACCCTGGGGCAGAGACCAGAGCCTGTGCCCCTTTCTGTCCTTGTGGTTGCTACTGCAAAGGCTCGTGCTCCGTTTTCTCAACCACTGGGTTAAAATGAAGGGGCCGGGCCCAGCAGGTGATGTAATGGCTACGGCGCTGGACTCCCGCATAGTCGACCACGGGCTGAGTCCCGGACCCGGTGGCTTAAACTCACGCCGGGCGCGTGTGCGCGTGTGCCCAAGATCCCGAGAGGAGAAGGGATTGCGGCGTGGCCATCCCCCCTGGGGGTGATTTCTCACTTTCTGTTTTCCTGCCTCCTTGTCTGTCTGGTGAGTGTACATGCCATATTGCAGAAATCTCTCTTTAGAAAAAAAGAATAGAACGAAGGGGCCAGCAGTTGGTGTAGTGGTTAAAGGTGCTGGACCCCCACACGGCCGACTGCGGTTTGAATCCTGGACCTGGAGGTTTGCGTTTTCACTTTCTCTCTCTGATGAGCACGTGTGCTCTCTAACGAATTAAGGAGAAAGAAAGGAAGGAAGGAAATAATACATAGTTAGAGAAATAATTCTTTAATAAAAAAAGTCACCAAGAATCGACCCCTTTGCGGCGCGGACCACCCAGCCTGGTGACAGGTGCTTTTATTGGGGCTGTGTGCTTGTCCGAGTTTCCTGTAGGGAACGAGCACTCAACATAGAGAGGGAAAGTGAGCAGTCTCCCTCCGGGGCGGGGTGGCCGTGCTGCAGTGCCTCCTCCTCCATTCCCTTTTCTGAATTTAGGACAGACGCGCGCACACACACACACACACACACACACTATGATTTTTAAGCCACTGGATCCGGGACTTGAACCGTGCAGTCACCATGTGGGATCCAGCCTCCTTAACCTCCATGCCACCTGCTGGCCCAGGGTTGTGGCCTTGTAAAAAGCCCTCTAAGGATGCCTCCTCTGCTCCCTGAGCACTTGGGACGCCCCTGCGCCCTGTCTACACATCCGTAGACCCTCATGCGTAGGCGCCGTGTCCCAGGCCTCCGGCGGGGGTTAGGCTCCCCAGGAAGCTGTAAACGTGGGGGGTTGCAGGTGCATTTGCAGAGCTCCAAGCACACCCATGGCCCAGAGAGTTCCCAGAGAGAAAAGCCACTGAGCCCGTTCCCATGCTTTTGTCACAAACCTCGTGCCATGGGCAGAGGGGGCCGGAAGAGAAGTGCGCTCTGTGTGCTGGTGGCCAGGTGAGCCCTGCCCTGGGGCTTTGTGGCCCTCCCGCCAGGCAGCCCTGTGCTGTAGAACACTGTCCTTCTGTCCCATCTATTCCAGTTCGAGGCCGCTCCTGAGACCCCCCACCGCCCTCACGCCCGGGCCTGGGGGAAAGTTCCCGAGTGTTGCACTTGGCCTCGCTTTGCCCTCGGCCGCGGATCCAGCACACCTGCTACCCTGCCCGCCTGTGCGTGCCACCAGCCGCCAGCCGCCAGCCGCCGTGCTGGGTCCAGAAGGACCTCCAAATCAATTTAGGTCCAAGAGGGAGAAGCCTCTCTGGTGTCTTCTCCTCTCGGGAGGACGGGGCAAATTGCCCCAGGGATGCCATGGCCAAACCCCAGGACTAATGTGCCACTTGGTAACGCGGCTCCCAGAGGATAGGGCATCTGTTGAAAAGAATTCCCAGCAGAAAACCTGACAGGTAAACTAGTTAAAGACCTGCCTTCTGGGGCCTGGGTTCAAGGCAGGGCCTTCGCAAGGATCTGATGAGAAAAGGCCGTGGGATTGTAACGCCGTGGGACCGGGCTGTCACACGTCTCTGCCAGGTGGGGCCGTGTCAGTCCACGCCTAGAGAGAGCTGGACCGTCCAGCGGGAAAGTGGCCGGCAGCCGCCCTCTAGGGTCCGTTGGCCTGGCCTGCAGTATGGAGGATTCCAGCCCTTCGGTTCCAAGTGCCCTCTGCCAGCTGGCCTGCAGGGAGGGCCGTGTCCCAGTTGAGGCCCTCGGCCCAAGCTTAACTGTCCCCAGATGGCCCTGGGAGCGCCGGGCTGCTCTGCCCATCGGCTCTCAGGTGACTTTCCGGGGCAGGCCTGGAATGTTCCCTCTTGTTCTGACATTTGTTGGGGAGTGGACAGCCGGATGACCCCCAAGGAGCCCGGAGGGCAGCCTCGGCCGAGACCCACCCCTGTGGGTGCTCCCAGCCCGCCTTCCGCAAATGGACGGCAGGTGGCCCTGGCGTCTGGAAGGAGCTTGCAGGGCCGAGGCTGCCTCTCGGGGGG